ATGAAGATTTCTCCTAAAGGGATGAGGATTTTCCCTGTATGTTATTGAAGGGATGAGGATTTCTCTTGTATGTTAGGATATGAGGATTTTTCCTGCATATCGATAGCTCGACGGCGGTCAAGGCGTTACAAGTATATGACATGTTATGTAAATATAACATGTTATATTCCATATAACATGCTATACCATACCAAAACATAGTATATAGCATGTTGTATTACGTTTTATTTTGATTTTATATAAATTGGTTGAGTAATCACAAGTCTAATAAATGTGATCGATAACATCTCTAAATGAAATGTTATTATTGAATTATGGTATGTTATATTTTGTGTGTGAATATAATTACATAAAACATATGAATAATATATTATGGTATGCCGTATATCAAAATAACAAATGTAATGAACTGCTGAAAAATGAAGAGAGAGAAACAGACAAACCAATTTTTTTGTAATTGTGTCATTCTCTTTCCTGACATACCAACATCTAATAAGAATGGCAAAATAGTCATTATTCAGTTCATCTCGTTGATTAATTCAAATACAAGTTATAAATTTAATTATGCTATAGTAATGTATTATTTGGTTGTATTTCCCTAAATGATATGTCTCCATTATAAATGTGCGGTGGTTTAAACAACTATTTATTTTCCTATAAAAGAATTCATCAAATATACATGTTTTACGTTTTATCTAATAAATCAAGAACCTAAATTATATGGGTAATGAAGTATATCCTCATTTCTGCTACAAAAGCGATATCACATATATAAACATAAGACAAAACCAGCACATGAGACTCAAAGCCGACACATTCTGTCTTCAAATGACAAATATTTTGGATACCAAAAGCTAAACAGATCGAATCTCTCAAATAAAATAAACAAATAAAATCCGAAAAGAAAGATTAACTTTTGATCATTTGCTAAAATCTGACCTAATCAGTATTTTTTTTGTGGTCTTGAGTTTCTGGAGGCTTAGCCTCAAATCGATCACAATTATCTTCTTCAGTAGATTTTTTTCTCGGTTTCTATACGGCTATTAGTTAATTCGCATTCGCTATTATTATTCTTATGTATATATCTTCATCATCCTATAACA